ATTTGATGTTAAACAACAACCGCTAACTATTGTATAACCAAACAGTTATATTTATCGAATCCGCTATTTACCATCCGTTACCCACTTTCCGCTATTCGCCATCCCCTTTCCCTAGTCTTCATATGCCTAAAATATGTGTTAATTGCATGCTGTCATTCAAAAAAAAATAAAGTTTTTGACAAGTTAAAACAAAACCTATAGACCTCATATAGTATTTGAGTTCACTTGCATTTCTATGATTCACTTGAAAATAATGGCTCCATGTCTAATGACAAAGCATCTCTAGAGGGGCTATCCTAGTGATTAGTTACTTCAATTTTAACATAAACATGTATAGTCTCTTTGTGATTTTGTTGACCATTTGAATTGTTTTGCAAAAGACAAATTCACTCCAACTCCATGGCAACTTCTATCATCTTTGGTCGTTTTTTACCACTCAAGCTTAGGCATCGATATGCAAGTTTAGCAACCTTTGCTATTTCTTCATGTGTAGAACTCTCCCCAACTCGAGGATCAAGAATATTATAGAGATTGTTCTCTTCCATGAAAAGAATGAAATGAGCGGCCAAACCTCTTGCATCCTCTTCCTCTGCCCTTGCTAAAGAAATTACTTTTTCTCCTACTAATAACTCAATAAGAACAACTCCAAAGCTGTAAACATCACTCTTTTTTGTAAATTGACTTGATTGGAAATATTTAAAGTCTAAGTATCCAAATATGCCCTTTACATTTGTGATCAAATGAGTTTAATCAATGGCAATTGATCTTGATGTCCCAAAGTCTGAAACTTTTGTCCTATACTTTTCATCCAATAAAATATTTGAGGACTTGACATCTCGATGATAAATAGGAATGGAGATTGCTGAGTGCAAGTAAGAAAGTACACCTACAACGTATGCAGCAATTGTTAATTGTCTTTTCCAAGTTAATGGGATGGCTTTATTTTTATCATGTACATACTGGAAAAGTGTCTCACTAGGGATGAATTCATAAACTAGCATAGGGACTTCAATCTCCGAACAACACCCCAACAACTTCACGATGCTTTTATGATTAATATGTGTAAAAATGACTATCTCATTGATGAACTCTTTAACTTTCTCTTTATCCAATGCTTTGGACTTCTTAACCACAACAATTCTTCCATCAACCAACATTCTTTTATAAATAGTGCCTTAGTATTCTTGACCAAGTATTCTATTCCTGTAAATTGTCAGTTGCCCTCTCTAACTCCTTCGTACTAAATATTTAGGTCTTTTCAACATTACCCTTAATTGAAGATAGTTGTTGTTGCAATAATAAAGCCCCATTTTGTTCGAAGAATTGCCTTTAAAGCCTCTTTTTCCTTCTCTTTTCTAAAATTTTGTGCAACCACCATGTGCCAGTAAGTGAACACGCAACTCCAAACCCTGGGCTAAATACCTGCAAATATCAAGAGAGGAGAAATGGATGACTTTGGCAGGAGATACACATATACATCAAAACCATACAGACTCTAAAGGGTGTCTTGTACGGCGAGAAGGGTATTTTAATCCTTTTTATTTTTTGAGTTTATTAAAATGATATACTTTATTTTTTTTTCAACTTACAAATTTTGATATTAAATTAAGG